CTCTCCTCCTTGTCTTTGAGTGCTGTTGTTACTAAACAATGACCTATTTTTACATTTAGCAAAATCCAATTATACCATGAAAATAGTTGCTAAATGCATTTAATATGTGTGTGTAATAGATGAAATGTCCTCTGCTCCACTGCACCTGGCGAACTGACCATTACTTCCAGATGGAAGAAAAATGCAATTAATGTCAAAGTGCAAGACGTTCAAGCTGAGAGAACCAGCAGCTTTAGTTTTTTAATTTAAAGATTATACTGAGTGTACCTGTGTACAGCACAGATGACACCGCCTCTCACATGCTACGCTAACAGATGATGTAGCTTCGAATTTACTTTTTAATAGCAAGAATCAACCATCTAGATGTATTATCTTTAACCACTATTAATAACGCGGCCTCGTGGGTGAGAAGTTTCCTTTAACGCTGTATCTTCCATAAATATTTATTGCCTCTGAATTCACACACTGTGGTGACCGAACAAAGCAGATTTAGGACATTATGGTTGCCTTCAAAACATAGAGTACTTTTAGATAAATAACCTCCCACGCTCAGGCAGGCTACGTATACAACTCCTGTTGCGGCGCATAGAGTTTATTATTGGAGAATACTAAATGAAGACTGTATACAGAAACAGTGATCTCTGATAGTGTGTTTGCAGTAATTGCATTATGGCTGCAGAAAGTCCACTTCTCTTTTAATAAGCAGCAATGTACTTATGGTACTAACCTGCAACTGCTCTGTCGGCTGTGGCAAAATGGAGATTAAATTACACTGTTTTCTGAACTTACAACAAATCGTTGCAGGAGTGTAGTTTTAAGACTAAAGTTCAGTAATAATCTGAAAAGCTTAAGTTCAAGTTATTGACTATGTTGCATTTCGTGGTCAGTGCTATTCTTTATAGCATTCTATCAATACCTTAGAATTGAGGTCAGCACTTTCCAACAAAGGTTCTGAGAACTGATGTAGAGCTGGAGCAGAAACCCACTACTACAACTACTACTGTTTATAGCAGACACAATGGCACACATTATGTTGCAGTACTCGGCTATTGAAATAACACACAGGCTGAAATGCTTATGTTTTATTATATACATGCAAAATATTAAAAATACAAATTTCACATCCCCTGCAGTACCGCATCGCGCAGCCCCTTTTGAGAACACCAGCTCTCTATGTGTGTTTATACATTTTTATAAACATGGCACAATAAAGGAAAAAATCCAGTAGTGACGGTATTTAATAAAACTCACAGTTTTGTATTGGCAGCAGCAGCAAAAAAGTGCAAAAAAAGCAGAAAACCTTCTTTGTAGTCTATCCAAGTAGGAATAGTCATATTAAATCTATACAAAACATCACATACAGTATCAAAATACAGTCCAGTAACATTACTGCAGTAGAAATAAACAATATGAACAGTATTATATACATTAAAACACTTTTTTACTCTTTACAAATACTGTCAAAATGAGTATGTGTGTGTTGTTAAAGGCCATTAAAGTCACATGACTAGTTTCCATAGAGAGGCTCTTGGCCAACACAGCATCTGTCAGACCAAATTTCAGACACGTTTGCGTACAACAAAGATGGAATTATTTTTATTCCGTCTCAAGCGGCGAATCATTCCTTGGCCCGTGTGCTTTTTCTCTCCTGGAACATAAAATTATATACGAAATTAGTACGAAAGCCTGGACCTCCTGCTGGTTGACTACACTATCTTTATTCCTAATTAAGCAAAACAGAAGTTCTGCTTCTCTTTAGTTTCCCCTCAATCATGATTTAATTAGCAGCTTAGGTGCAAATATATGGTTCGATAACAACATTGCTAATGCCTTAGAAGAATTAAAAGCAGCTAAGGATTATTTGGACTGTGGTTTACTGAGTTCTCCCCCACACTATAGCCGTCACGATCTAAACACTGCAATTAAGGATTATAATTAATACTTTGCTTATTATCTGCAGCCATTCGTTCTGTGGCTCTTCCTTTGTACAGTGAAGCTTGAATCATGCCGTCACACCTTTTACACACACTTCCATGCAGTTTCGCTTGGAGACAAAGTTGTTGCTGCTGCCCCCGCAGCCAGAGTAGGTGAACTCCTCACACATTTTGGTGGCCTTGTTGTAGTAGTAACGTGTGATGGAGGCTGAGCATTTCCCTTTGTCCAGTGGGTCCAGGCAGAGCACGGGAACAGCTGTAAAAACACAAAGGCAGTCAATAAAACACCAGACGTACAGGCGTCTCTGAAGATGAAGGAATCATGGAGAGAGGAGTGAGATTTTGTGTCTTTTCCTTGGTGTGTACTACTGTGTACACCAATATCGTCATATTATTTGACTAACTTTTTCTTGGAATGCAGTACTCCTTGCAGGATGTTCGGTCACTGAAGCGATTATGGTTCCCATAACAGCCTCCGTAGTGAAAGGTCTCGCACCGCATTGTGGTCATGTTGAAGAAGTAGCGAGGCAGGTTGGCACGGCAGGGTCCTTCGTCTTTGGGGAACCTGCAGATCTGGGGAATCTCTGAAGAAGGAGATGATACAATTTAATAATCTGGCTTTTCATATGAGTTTATTTTCTTCAAATAAACATTACAAGACTGGGCTCTAGTCTGCAGTGGTTATTAACCTTTTTTAATAAGAATAAACTGAACAATAAATGAACAGGGTGCTTAGGGTCACCTTTTCCCACCACAGCGTTTTCACTTGGAACTCACTTGGAATTCTGAAGCAAGTTTTCTGGCACTCCTGGTAACTCCTGAAGTTGTTGGCGTTGCCTTGGCAGCCACTATAGTAAAAGACCTCGCACTTTTGGGTGATGGTGTTGTAATAATAGCGCTCAATCTCTCCGCTGCAGGTTCCCTCGTCCACCTGAAGGAGGCACACGGCTGACAGAAGCATAGAGGTTATTTATTATATTTTATTTATGTATTCATCTATTTATTTAAGGAAAAAAAAGTTGCTGCGAGTGCAGTCGTCATTAGTAGCAGATTGACCTGGACTGGATTCCTTACCTTCGGGCAGCAGCGCCTGAACGCTGTAAAGCGCGGAGAAAAAAGCCAAAAGCGCAACTATACAGAAGTCCATGGTGCAGGGTCTGAGCGGTTACTGTCTCTCCTTCTGTCTCTCCCTCGGAGCCGATACTGTATCTTTCCGACCTATCAGCGCTCCCACTTTTATAAGAGAGTAGTGCTTCCCAGAGGAATGTCAGGGGCGGGATTCGGTGAGTCACTTCATTACTGAGAAAAACATAAAAATTTGATTTATTAATGCATGACAACAAAGAAGTTGTGCACGTGACTAAGAGTTTATTCAACCCATACGGAAATGACGTCTTATAGCCAAACAGATATTAACTGATGATGTCACTGATGTTGGTAATGCTGGCAATATTGATCATCAGAGTGCTGGTGATTTGGGATCACTGCATCCTAACCCAGCCCTAATTCTAACCCCAGCTTCTCTACCTCTTTCCAGGGTGGAACTGAACAATGTCTCTGTCAGGAGAGAGAGAGAGAGAGAGAGAGAGAGAGAGAAGGCAACAACTGTGAGTGTGTCAACATGGGGAAAGTTTGACAATAATCCATCCATACAAGGGGGCGCTGCAGAAGAGGTGTGGGTACCACTAACCTAGAGTAATAAAAAATATCCTTTAAGCTCCCTTTGACTTGCCATAGAAGCCTGTATGTATTTCCAAGAGACAAAGTCTGTTTTACCAAGACTCACCTTTGTGTCATTAGAAAAGTGTCACACAGTCATCTTCACGATAATGATGAGTCTCCACCTTGACAGCTGGAGGCTAAATACAGATTAGTCGTCTTATCAGGTCGATCTGACGCATGAGGTTCACACACACACACACACACACATCACACTCACTGTGCTTGAATTTACAATGCAAAACATCATAACACCCCAAACCCAAATTTAACTACAATGAAATCATCTTGCTGTTTTTCGAGCAATCTAAGACCTCATAACAGACAGTGGTGATCAGTTTTTCCTGATTTGAAAAGCAGTATACACTGGGTCGGTTTAATCAGATTAAAACAGATTAGGATTGTTTATACAGATTACTTTATAACCCAGATTGAAAGGGAGGAGAGAGCTACTTCAGCAGGTCTCCAGTTTGAAGGACTGCTCCGTATAGGCATTCGTGAGTACAATTGTAATCTAATTTTAATCTATTATTTTTTTAAATTGTTTTCATTCTTTCTATATTTCTTTCATACTTCCTTTTTTCTCTATTGTAAATGTAACCTAGTACTAGTCCAAAGGTAGTCACGCATCATTTTGGGGAATTTGAGGCATTATCCAGCATCAATACACACAACAATGAATTCTATAATTTTGATAATTATTCTTTTTTTAATAGAAAATGCCAGTCATCAATGTAGAGGAGCTGACAGACAAAGACAAAGCCCTGATGGAGGTTAACCAACTGAAGAATGAAGTAAAACTGGAGAGGTGGCTGGTAAGTTCTTCACACTCAAATTACCTCTGAAGATAAAAAAGATCTCATAAACATCTGAATACATAAATACATAAACATGACTTCATACAATCTGGAGTTGCAGTTAATTACCCCACAAGTACCAATCATTTTTACTGGTATAAAAAGTACTGTCTCAATGCCAGTGCCTTGTCACCGCAGACATCCAAATGCTGCGAAGAAGTAAAGGAGTACATTCAAGCTCGAGAGGAGGAGGACATTCTTGTTAAAGGAATTCCGGAGGAGAAGAATCCCTTCAAGGAGAAAGGTGGCTGTGTCATCTGCTAGACTGGACTTGAGGAGCTTTTCATTGCTCAGATTAGCACTCGAGGACAATCTCTGTAGACCTGTGACACTAGGATGACAACGATAAGAAAAGTATTTCTCCCAGGATTTAAAAGTGAATAAATGTCTGTGTTTTATGACCAGACTTGTATGTATGGAGTTGTTTACTTCTTTAATAAGATGCAATGTAAAAGAAGGGTAATATATTACACACGTCATACTGTTTACATAGCCAATGGAAATAGACCCATGTGTGATGGAACTGTCATTAAACACGGTTATTTATAACTCAGTCTGTCTCCATTATTCACTGCACAAAGGGTTTTTATGGTAAGAGCGAGAAACACATTTGCATAACTCAGTTTGCATGTATTAAGAGAAGGCCCAACTGTTTCTAATGACACTGTCAGAGCATTAGCATCATAGCGCCAGCGCCTTGTGTAGCTGTTGATGATGTCATATTTTCATTATCCACTCGTCCCATCGCTAAGACATTGCTCTGTCTATGTACATATAAAATAAAATTAGCATATTCTAAATGTGACTAAATATATATATTAAAATATCATGTCCTGTATCCTGTATCTTTTTATAATACATGTATACACTCATTAAGAGTTCAATGATATCAATGAAGTGTATAGCTCGTATTCATGGAATATACTGTACTGTAGTTCATAGTTCTACGACAGCAACAATAAATGTTTAGTTGTCAAATATTTCCAAATTCAATGTATATATAAACGTTTGTTAAGTAAAATTATAGATCACTTAAGATTTATAATGGTTATATTATTATTATTATTATAATTATTATTATTATTATAATTATTATTATTATTATAATTATTATTATTATTATAATTATTATTATTATTATAATTATTATTATTATTATAATTATTATTATTATTATAATTATTATTATTATTATAATTATTATTATTATTATAATTATTATTATTATTATAATTATTATTATTATTATAATTATTATTATTATTATTATACACACTGTGAGAGCTCAAAAGGGGAAAAATATAATATAAATCAAACTGTCGGGGGAAAAGCCACAGCTGTACTGCGTTATTCCTACTTCCGGCTCAACCTGGTCCGAATGTACGGCTGAGATAGCAAGGTGAGTGAATAAAAAAAAATGTCCTCTGCTATTGGTTTATGACTGCAGCCAATATATTTACATGTGTCAAATAAAATAAAATAAAATAAAATAAAATAAAATGTACAATTGGGCGTCCCTTATTTGCATTTTTGAAAGGTGGTAACCCTAATCAAAACTTTCGCATACCGTTCAGGGTCTACCTCGAGCGGTATGCGCATGCGCCTCCACTGTAAACAAACATGGCGCTGCACAGAGGAGCCAGCTCTGCGAAGCTACTTTGTAACCTTCGTAATTTCACCAAAATTCCATCGTTTCTTGGGTCCAGACTTGTTTCTGACACATCTAAAGCCGTAGAGGCCAGTGCTTCAGAAGTCACCGGTGACCATGTCCTCTACACGCCGGAGCATTTTGCAATGAAAGAGTCGCTCAGAAAAGTAAGGACCGCAGACGTTAATGGAGTTTTAGTGTTGCCTGCAAAAAACATTTTTGGTTATGGTTGGATTTTGCGGACGATGGTTTTGTAATGATCTGTTTAGAGTCATGCACGTTATAATTAGACTTTTATTGAAGAAGCCTTGCACGATGCAATACATGAAAATAGGTGAGAGGTCAATGTCGACGTCATCAGAAAGGTTACGCTGGGACGTTCATGTGACCCACAAATGCAGCGTCGTTTCATTTTAAAAATCTTAATAAATTTTAGACTTTGCTCAACTTAGTTAGCCTTTTAACCTGCACTGTGTCAACAAACTTCACTTAGGTTCAATATTGAAATAAGAGAATTTCTCTCCAAAGGACACAATTTGCATTGATCGAAAGATTGACTAATATAGTCTAAATGTGTAAGTTAAGATATGTAAAAATTAACAGCTCACTTTACTGTTGCCCATAGTTCATTTATTTAAATTTGTTTTAACTTGCAGGAGTATGACCTGTTAAATAAAACAACAAAACACGTGTTTTCCACAAGACTTTTGAAGAAGATTTTACTCTGTTTGGAACTATTTATTTTTTAATTATTTAGTGGTACAAAGATAGGAGGCTGAATTTGGGACAATATTTTGTTTCTATGGCCCTGATAAATATTCAGGAAAATATGAGCAACTTGTGTAATTATAAAGTATAATAGTGCATTTAATTAGGACACCAGTTAGAGTTGAATCTCTACTCAATTCAGTAGGCCGTCTGACTCAGTGCACTTACAGTATAGTAGACAGAGGTTTGACACATCGTTAGTAGAATATAACAACAGGGCCTAAATTAACTCTCAGTCTAAATTGCGGGGAGGTTGCGGTAAAAGGTGCAGTCCGTTGTGTGAGTAAAGCTTTCAAGGATATGTGAAAATAAACCTGCATTGGGAATATTAGGAAGGAAATATGGAAAGGAAATTCAAAACAATATGCTTGCAGAGCAGGAAAGGGAACTGGAGGCTGCATGGTCTATAAAAAGAATTCACTCAAGGAAATCCCCCTGTTGGTAGAGTTGTGTGTGTTTGTGTGTGTGTCACACAGGGTGTTGCATTTGTGTGCTCATTTATCGACAGTAAAAGTGATGCCATGCCAAGGAATTAGTCAGGTTTCCTTGGACCCTTTTAGTGCAGACTGGTTTGACAGTGACGTCAGCTGGTACTGTTAGTGAAGACGAGCCAGGACAGATTTCCTAAGAGTTTTGGAGGAAGAGCTGCCTCCCTTTTATTTGGATATTGATTCCTGGCATGAAAAAAAGCATTTGCTAACAGTGGCATATAGGATGTTGCTGTAGGGGATGGGCTGGTCAAACATAAAAATACATTCCAGTATGAAATTTTCTAACTAAATATTTTTTTCATTACTTTACAAATTGTCTGAGATCCTGCAAAGAGTGAACTTAAACTTGAAGCTCTTTTTAATTAATAACAATCTATACCTTATAAACATAAACAACATTTATGCCCACAGGTTCTTTCTTTGTGGATTATGTTTGTCTATGGTCTCAATCTGTTATTTATACTGAAAAAGACATGCTGCTCCATGTTTTACTCTCAGGTCATTTTAGATTTACTTAGATTTTTGTTTCCACACCAGATCATCTGTCACTATCTCAGTCTCTCCTTGGCTTTTTTTACTTTTACACTAACCTTCTTAATGACTTCCTTTTCTCAGTTCCTTGATGTTTTTTCTTTTTATCTCCAGCTTCCTTTTTCCAACAGCACATATCCAAAGCTTCTGAATCCCTCCCCCCTCCCCCTCCCCCCCGTTATTTACTTATCTACTAGTCTCACATTAATCATTCTGCTCATTGAAAGCCTTTTTGTAGCTCAGTGTTTTTGGTTATATTAGTCTGAATAGTTCTCATTAAGCTGAAGGATGATTTGACTACTCTCACTGAACTGGTTGTGTATATTTTTAAGACTTGATGAAGTAGAACATTTATACATTTTTTCAACTTCTAAACCCTGTATTATATCTGTATTAGATTCTGATTTGTTCTTAGGTAGCGTTTGTTGATCTGTCTCACTGATCCACTTTGATTATTTGCCATAGTAATTTTGTGTCTGTCTGCCTCCTTGCAGTATGAACATAGTAATAATTTTAATACTTTCCTGCATATATTTGTTCTCCACACTGTTTTATATTCTGGTCTTTCTGAGCCTCTTTTCAGTCAACACAGTCTCGTTCTTTGTGTGGAGTAATCCTGGGCGCCTGGGGAATAGGTCAGACTTTCCTGACTGGACAGCATTTTAGACCTGATAACACAGTGTTCTTGACCCCTTCTTACTGCAAGTCAACCATGTGATGTAAAATTGTTCTGGTATGCAACTCAAACAGTCCAGAATAACCTTTGTGAAGAGATGTGGACGCACTCCCCCATGACCTTTATGTTCCTCATCCCTCCCATCCGGCTCAGGATTTGACCTTGGATCACATTTGGGTTTGTTTTAGCATAAAAGAGACTTTGTCAGTACCTGTCTTTTAGGAGTTTGTTTTGGCAGCTTTTGTCCTGTGTATTTTGGACAGAATAAGCATACCTCCTGTGTTGCAACCCTGGAAAGAGTAGGGGGTTGGAGTGTCTTATCTTGCTCATGATTGCACTTTCATTTTTATGCAGAGATGCACTGAAGCCGGACAGCATTAATGAGTAGTCAGATTGAATAGTCAATATTATTTTTTGATTACTACGATTTTACCTGCCTAAATGATAAAATATTACTCATTCCTTCTTTTTTTATTACTTAAATCCATTGGGCTGGGCCAATCACAGCAGTCAAGGTGTGAAGGCAGAGTACAAACTTCACAATTTATCTTCCAGAGAGTGGAACTTCCTCACTGTTAGCAACCAATTGTTCTGTATTGTTAGTCACTCACATTGCACTTTGATTTATTTGTTAAGTAGATTTCTTAAAACATAAACTCAATTTAACATCAATTTAAATGAACACCTCTTCCTTGTGAAGCAGCTTGACTTCAAAAATAGATCGATAAACGGTCACTCTTAAGTGCTTTCCCAGCTGTGAACCTATTCAAGCAAAGAGGATTTCCAGCTGTGGACCACTTCAACTTTAACATGCTCTTAATGAGTCACATCTCAAAAGTCCACTCCATTCCAAAGCGTCATGTCATTCATCCTATCTTCATGACTTCCTGGCAAGATTCTCATAGGAACTGTTGCATCCTAATAATGAATTTAATCATCTACCTTGTCTGGTAAAGGGCTAATGAGCTGTCAGGATGCTGGGCACAGTTATGTAGTGCTGCCTGTCTAGACACACACACACAACTAAGAATTCTGACCATAACGGTGATGGCAGTTCCCACATCACGTAACTGTTCTGGGTTTTTTTTAGATTGTAGCTAATGTTCCATTGTTCCCAGTGAGGACGGTGTCAGACTCAAGTCACACAATGGACTGTGAACAATCCAAGTGATTAATATATTAATATATTAAATAATTATCAACATGTTTCTAAATGCATTTGATTTTTTTTTTAATGCAGATGAATACCAAAGACAAAGGGATGTACCGATACTTCAAATACCCCTGCTAATGCAGCAATGGCATACTCCTCAGCAACTTTTCACTACAACTAGCTACAATATGAGCAATTATATAAAACACCTCTTCTCAGTTCAGCAGCACAGATAGATTATGTTATTGTTTGACTTATTTAACCAATATTTTGTCTTAATTTGTTTGTTTAAATGTGGAAAACGTGCAGAGGAGACAGTGTTGTACAGAACTCTAATGCAATCTTTTAATTCATACGTAATTGGACGTTCTCTGTTGCAATTTTGCCGCAGATCATCGACCTGGAGATCAACCCCCATGTGGATCAGTGGGAAGCGGAGGGCATGTTTCCAGCCCACAAGGTCTTCAAGATTTTAGGAAATGCTGGCTTTCTGGGAGTGAGCAAACCAGTTGGTAGGAATGTAACACAATATTTACTTTACATCACTGCTGAATCTGTTCTTTGCTTTCTTTATTAAGGAATCTGTGGTTCCCTGTCATAAAGGAGTGGTGTAACTGGAAAACCTTCACTATTAATTATGTGGAACATAATTACTTGAGCTTTTAATTGATAGTTTTCTGTGTTGCAGGCCGTTTTTGACAAATGTACAACATTCATTATTCAGGAAGCTTTTGATTTTTCTTCACTTCGCAGGAACCTCCAAGGTAGAGGCTCATAATTTATAGTGTGTCTGTGATGAAGTTACATTATTAAATCAGAGACAATACCTCTGAGAAATGATTATACCACAAACAATCCTGTAGAAGTAAAGTGCATAAGAAAGGTTGGACTTCAACTTAATGAGCTTTAGTCTAGATATCTGTTGGGGATTCTGTCTAACAATAACAAGCGTACCGCCTCCTTTTTATGAATTAAACATGGGAAACTTTAAAACTTTTTCCACCTATTGTGTTAAAAACATCTGTCAAACAGGTGATTTAACAACAGCAAGAGAAGAGAAGCTGAAGTCAAGTTCTATACATACATACGACCATACATTAAAAGTGGTCTGATTTCTAAACATCCCCACTGTGACGATGAGTACTGGTATCACAGTACTGCAGCTGTACTCTGCAGTACAAGGCCACGTACAGATGTTTACCCAGCTGGGTCTTTGACAGGGTGGACGAGGGACTAGAAGAAGTACAGAGGAGAACCGAAAATGATTCAGTGGTTCTGATGAGAAAGTCGTGAATTTGTAAAGAGGTGGTTGATGGTGTCTGCATGTCATCACTGTCTTAACAAGAGCTAACAACACAATTCTTATTGAATTTAACCTCATATATTTATTGATTTATTGGCAACGATTAATCCCGACAGAAACTAAATTGGAACTTCCCTAACCATGAGTTTTGAGTTGAAGACTTTAACATGAACATTATGTTCTGAAACTCACTGCGCTGAAAATGTAACTAACCGTGATGTCAATAATGAGGTAAATACAGAACCATGACTTTTCTGTGCCGTTACAGTCCTGAGATGCTGAGATGCTGTATATCGTTTGTTACGGGGTGGATCCTGTTAGGTAAATTCCGCTGTAGGTCGAGGTAGAAAAAGACAGAGGGGAATTAAAAAAGTGCTGCTCTCACAGGCTTAAAGCATTAGTGGACAGGATTAGAACGAAGCCTCAGTGCAGACAAAGACAGCTATAAAGACACATGTAATACCCGGAGGTACGAGACAATCTATCATGTCCAGAAAATTGAAAACAAAAAAGGCACCATTAGTGTTGTAATACAAAAATACTTAATAGTCCATAATACTTCCCAGCAGGTTTTGGAGATGATATGAACAGCATTGATGTGTGCCCTGTCGATGATACAAAGCAATATTGCAGCATTTGTGTGAACATGGTAAAGTCCCTGTGAGGTGGTCTTAATCATGTTCATACTAAGTTGTTCATACGTGGACCATAAATCTACGCAGGCACACTAAGTGAATATGACGTGGATGCACAAGATAGGGATATATCAGACTTAGGAGGTTGGTGTTGGAGTTGCCAGGTAAGAGAAGATAATTGTAGAGGAGGCTGCAGATAAAGATGGGAACAGAAGGTCAGCTGCAGAGATTTCTGAAGGGAACAGCCGAGAGAAGTCGTCATCGTTCACGATTGATCAATCTTTGACAGATCCATTTTTGCAAGTGGTATTTTATATCCACAGGCAAATTCTGTGTTTCACAACACTCCTGGGTTGGTGCAGGTTGCCTGATTCCAGATAAGAGATCTCTTAATTATTGTATTGAAGGAACTTGAGAAAGTCGTGGGATGAATAGCTGAAGATTTCATATGAATGGTGTTTCATTTCTAATAATATAAGGTTTAATGTAGAGAGGAATGAGGTGTAATCCCAGACCTATCCAGTGGGACAGTAACAGGATTTGGAGGCTGTGCTGATTAAGTACTGTTTTCACTACTCTTCACTACTTTTTCTTTCATTTAAACCATCTGTGAAACAGCAGCCTGATTAACCCTGGACGTACACGAGCAGCCTGAACTTCTTTATTGCTCCCATGGGAGTTCTGGTGCTTGCTCAACACACCACATTCCCCCAGGACAGCAAATGAAAGTAAAAGTTCACAGTGGTCACGACCAAATGACATGTGACCATTTGATGAATGTCTAAAGATAGTAGAAGTTCTTTACTTCTTTTATATTCCCTCTCTGCCATTATCTTCCTTTAAGGCTGGAGTCTCTAAAGAAATTTGCACTGAGAAAAAAAAGAATAATTTTAGTAGTCGTTAACATTTAGAACCCATTAGGATTTTATCAGTCCCTACGGTTCTGCAGTTATTAATTTTCAGGATGACTGCAAGCATTAATGTCATGAAAGAGTGCTTTAATGTTAAACTACTATCTCACATGTTGCGGAGCGCAACAATATTGAACATACTAGGAAAAGAGTTATTACATTCCCAAACGTGAGAACAGGAAGTTTTCAGAAAGGGAAGGCAGTGTTTGACCCCTGGCTCTCTGTCAGTTTCCCTCCGTGTTGACATACACTTGTCTGCAGTTCACAGCAGCCTTTGCGTCTGTTGCCAGCAGACAAATAATGCCTGATGGCCCACACAGTCTTTAAGTTTAGGTTGAATAAACTTTTGCTATGTAGGCAGCTTCCTGTTTTGCAGCTTTAGCCTGAAGAGGTTCAAGAAAGGTGACTGTGCAGACTTTTTTATCTTCAGATGTGATTTTCCTACATGCATGATTAGTACTGAAAAAAAACTAAAATGTGTGTCACTATTTTGCTTTTTTTCCCTTTTTATCTGCCATATTTGCTCCATATGGAGTCCCACCCAGGAACATATGCAGACGATCATCTGTTCAGCACAAACACAAACACTGCATGTGCACGAATTTTACATTTTTGACGGGATTTTGTTTTCTTTTCTTCTGCTTGCTTGTCCAACCGACGACCCGCTGTTTTGTTTAAAGGTGGATAAACCTCAGCACTTCCCTTGGTCCACATTATCCACCACAGGGTTTCCGAAGCAAGGAGAATTATCGCCACAGAGCTGCACCTGTTTCCTCTCAGTTTTTTTTGCTCCCATACTCCCTTCGTTGCCCGACCCACTATATTTCACCTTTTTTTTTCACTGTCCCAATTTCCTCAACATTTTTATTTTCATTCTACTCTAGCAGTCTGACAAAAATAAAACAGCACCTACTGGTGTATTAAACAGGTAGTGTAATCAACATTACCCCACATTTTTATTCTTCTTTCTTTTAAAAACTTAAATAAATCTAAACTCTTAAAACCCAATAGCAAAACAAAAAATTAAAAATCAACCATGAACAGCAGAGGACTCTGTCAGCACCCAGGGAGTGAATTGTCTGTCACTGAGCTCTTGCATCCATCATGCAGTGACTGATAATAGTGTGGTGTCTTTTTTGTCTTGGGAAAACTGAGCAGCAGGATTCTTCACAGTTGCTCATGGTTATTTTCTTTTTTGCCTGAACAGACATTGTGATCAAAATGTCTCTGAGTGAATAAACCACTGTCAGGTTATATTTATAGGACAAATATGAGATGAGAGTTTTTTTTCCATGGGGAGATTATTATATGTTATCAAACTTTCAAACTCTGTTTTTAAAATGACTTTTTATGTGTGAATATTTACCCAAGACAACTTGAGAAATTGCAGAACGTAGGCAGGTAGATACGTTTGGTTAGTTCTGTTGGTAATTTGCAGGAAGGGCTATTTTAAAATGGGTGCTGCAGCTGATGATGAAAGGCACAAGAAAAGGACGGTAAATAGTCGTCTTTTTATGATGGCAACTGATGGAGAGTGATGTTTAAAACATGCCTTACGTCTCACTGCTCAACTCCATTAAAGACCTGAGGTCTCCACCGGCAGGGCGCAACAAATGGATGTCCATTTTTGACTTATTCTGTAAATGGACTATTTAAGTGGCCAAAATTTGGTTTTATACGCAAAGTGGCGGAGCTAGGATGACACCCAGATGGAAGTGATTTTCTGTATTATGCTGCTGTTGTCCCGGCAGAGCCTTTTACCTGTTATTACAGACCGAGCAATTAATGATACGATGTTATCATTTATTTGAGTGTGAGTGTGTGTTGCTGTGCTGACTCTTGTTTTTGGTGAGTAATTATCTAAATCCTGTCGTGTCCTGTGCAGAGTACGGAGGCCTGGGCCTGGACTTCAGCTACAGCGTGGCCGTGGCAGAGGAGCTGGGCCACATCCGCTGTGGAGGCGTCCCCATGGCAATCGGTGTTCAGAGTGACATGGCTACACCTGCACTTGCCAGGTACAGTTGTACTGTTGTACAATGCACTCAGTGTATTCGTACTCCCAGGCCCTTGTGGACAGCTTTCTGTGAGTGTTGGCATGACACCAGAACAAAACACAGACTAAGCCCCAAATCAATATCTGTAATCTTTCCAAAAGTCAAATATCTGATTTGAAGGTTTAGATTATTAGAATGTCAATGCATGTTATTCATTTGTGCAACAACAAAATATATACATTTATTAAATAAAAATATGTTTATCTTTTTCTATCACCTCACATAAGACCTCCAGTATCTCTTTGTTTTTACATTGTACTCAACAATGACAAAGGCAATATTTCCATAGGGAAAAACCGTTGAATTGACCGAGTGAATAGATCATTACTCACACACGGCGCACGCCATCTGTGAACTAATGGGACTTTGTCAACGCAGTGGCTTTGGGCTACTGTAACAAATTGACATTGAAGTGCAAACTGAAGATAAACTCTGCCTTTTCACTGCACCGAGGGCCAGAGAAGAGCTTTCTTTAATGCCCTTTATTATACATAGACTATACAAAAAAAAGTTATAGATATAATCTGAAACACTCCAGAGCTTCAACACTACCATATAACAACTGGAATTTCAAAATGAGATCCCTTTCCCACTGAGCTGGACACATTCAAAACACAATATTATGTTTGAGAAAACACAGTTTCTGGTTCTGCCCCCGGAGGTCACGTACAGTACATGCATTTCATCTTGAAGTCAAACTTTTACCACTGCAGAACAAGAAATAATGTGGTGTTTGTTGAACTCTGGTGGTTTGTCAACTCCCCAGAATTCGGTTTATTAATGTGTTTGATAATCCGGTGCTTTGACTCCCGTGTGTGCTTTGGAAACATACACTCATCTGCATCAAGGTCTTTGCGCTGAAGTAGCAGCAACCCAGGATCATGGTAGTGTTTTCCTCACTCCCACTGGCATGGTGATTGTCTGAAACACGGCTGTGTGTTTGTACTTTTGAACGTCTGGTATAAAAACCATCACGTACCGAACTGTCTGTAGACATAAGTGTTGAGCCACTGACATGTTGTTGATAAATAAGCTGTTTTTTATCATGTTATATAATTTAGCTCTTGCTTTTGTAACTATAACAGCTTCAACTCTACTGGGAAGACTTTCAACACCATTCTGTGAAAGTGTGTCTGTACAAATATTAGCCAATACATTTAGAAGAGCTATTGTTACCTCTGAACTGGTCCTGGACCAGATGGGCCGTTTTGCAGTCTTTACTCCACTTTATCCTTCAGTCGTTCAGGTCTTTTGAGGCCAGGGCTCAGCCTTGGCTGTACATGTTCCTTCACACCGCAGCTCATCCAGCAATGTCTGCACAGGCTTAGCTTTGTGCACCTAGGCACAGTCACGCAGGAACAGAAAAATAACAGTAAAATAAAGATAATACAGGTAAAGCTGACCTGTATCAGATTAAGTCAAGCAAATTATTAATTGTCAAGTATGAGTTTAATTTTTGTAACATCAAAAAACTCCAGAGGTCAATCCCCTGTTTCCATCTTGGTTAAACTGACTGACTTTCATTTTGTCTTGTATCTGTGTGTTTGCCCGCAGGTTTGGCTCAGCCGAGCTGAAGCAAGAGTTCCTCCTTCCATCCATCCTGGGAGACAAAGTGGCCTGTCTTGGCGTCAGTGAAGTCGGAGCTGGTTCTGATGTTTCAAGTACACACTGCCTTCATCCTCTTCTTTCTCCTCCTATTAACATAACATTTTCCTTCCTCTACTCCCTGACGTTCGTGTTACCTCAGTGATGTTGCAAAAACACTTTCAGGGCCCCGACAGAAACTGATTTCACAATCGGCCTGGCACTGAAGATCCCACAGGAGGAACAGACAAGATGCTGGAAGCAACGTTGTGTAAAAAGGCTCAAGTCAGAGGAAGACAACGGCACAATAAATAAAAACATTTTTATCTAGAACTTTTGACAGACCCACAGCAGGGTTTGCTTATCGAAGCTCTTTAAGGCCATAACAATATGAGACCTTAATTCAATGGATCCCAAAGTAGGGGGCGGACCTCCCTAGAGGGCATGTAAATTTATTTCAAATTAAGTTTCTTTTTCTCTCTACCAGTGTGGGAAAAATGACACTTTTGTATTTTGAACAAACTGACAAATACAAGTATGCCGAACATGTTTTTTGGTTACGACAGGTCACGTCACGAGAAACTGAACAGAATTTCCCCCAACCACCTACAGAAAATGTTTGAGAAGCACAGCTTTAATCAACCACTGACACAGTTAAAGCTTCTGTCTGTACCCTTATCTTCAATGTCTGTGTCTCCACCCTCACCCTCTCTCAGGTATTAAGACCAAGGCAGTGAGGAAAGGGGACGAATATGTCATCAATGGTGGAAAAATGTGGACCACCAACGGTGCCCAGGCGGACTGGATGTGTCTCCTCGCCAACACCAGCGACGGTCCACCGCACAGGAACAAATCCCTTATCTGTTTGCCGATGAACCTGCCAGGTCGGGCATGGATCCAAAACAACACTTCTGATCTCAAAATCATTCTGGTTATTTATGAGGTTACTCTCCAATCTCCAATGTAGGAGTCCACGTTGCTCGTAAGATTGATAAAATGGGAATGCGGTCATCAGATACAGCTGAAGTGTTTTTGGATGACGTCCGCGTTCCCTGTAAAAACGTCATTGGTGAAGAAGGCATGGGCTTCACATACCAGATGCTCCAGTTCCAGGAAGAGAGGCTGTGGGGAGCAGCTAACGGTGAGTGAGCTTCAGCCCTAATCCCACTTCCGTCCTTCTCTCTCCCGCAGTTATTTTCTCTGGTACAGTCCTAATATGAAAAGGAACAGTTTTTCTTCTTATACTGTTTCGGTTGGTTGTGGGTCTGAACCCTGGAGTCCAGGTCAGGTATTAAAAACCATTTATCTCCTCTGAAATAGATGTTTATTTTTAATCAGAGAATTCAAACATAAATGTTGGAGCAATTATGGGGAAGTAGAACAAATTTGAAAACAGCACAACACCCGCTGCACTGTGGCGTGTGTAATGGGTTTTTAAAACCCAAATCATCTGGGATTCATGAAGCTGTAGCTGATCCTAGAGCAGATTTTGTTTGCTTTGATTTAATGTATTATTTAGGGAATGTGCACGCAAAAAACATTAGTTTTATTTTTTTGTGCATTTTCTGACTATATCCTATACAGAGTGAACTAACTTTCATTAATGTAAAATGTTTTAACAAAACAAATATCACACTAAAACACCAGAAGAAGCCACTCAATTCTTTTCCTGTGGAAACCTTTAGATTGGGATCACACTAAAGCTGCCCAGCTGCAGCAGTGTTGCCCACTCGTCCTGTGTCATTGATGTTGTGTTTACAATAACAAATAAAGCTGCTTCTTCTTCACCTCCAAATCAACATAGGAAACATGTATTTGGATTCAGTGTTGACGAAACAACCTGAATTTATCCATTCTGTCTTGTCGTCCATGTCTCCGTCCTCCGTCCCTAGTCCTGACATCAATGGACAATATCATCCAGGAGACCATCGACTACACAAAGCAGAGGAAGATCTTCAAGCGGCCCGTCCTTCACCACCAGTCCGTTCACTTCAGGTTAGCGGAGCTGCAGACGGAGGTGGAGCTACTACGCTCACTGCTCCATCGTGCGACAGGTACAGTGTGATTTAAGAAAACAACATTTACCTGCTGCAGTTTGTCTTTTTGTTCCAGCAAGATACAGAAATGACAAAAATAGCAACAGCTTCCTTTCACAATTGCACAAAAACACACACCTAAAAGTCACCTTTTCCCATTAACTAAAGTGATGAAGTGGCTGTAGTGACTTGGTTGTCGATGAAGGGAAACATTAAACTCTTCTAGAATTTTCTTTATTTTATTCAGCTATTTTCTTCCTCCTTCCCCCATCCTGTTTGGCAAAGATAGTTAGAGTCACAAAGACATCCGTTTACTCAAGCTCTTCTGAAAAGAAGTCACAATAGAAGATAGAGAAGAGGCTGAGTCAGGCCTAATGACCCTGGAACTGAAGTGATTTGTGTACTTGGTTTTAGTTTCATGTACTTTCGTTCACTCTCACACTCTTCCATTCGCCTCTGCAGCCCTGTACATTAAAGGAAATGATGTCACCAAGCTGGCGTCCATGGCCAAATTGAAGGCAGGGCGTTTGACCAGAGAAGTGAGTGACAGCTGTCTCCAGTACTGGGGAGGGATGGGCTTCACCAGTGATGTGATGGTCAGCAGATATTACAGGTGAGGTGGTTTGAGGGTAAGATCGAACAAATGATGCTGTGTCAGGACAGGGTTGTTATCTTAATGTTATTTTTCTTAGGAGAAAAACAACATGCACTGTGATTGAAGTAGGAATGTTTCTTGTTTCTGTGGAAACAGGAACCTAATCCGACTGCAGGAACTTAAAGTAGTCATGGTAGTTGAAAGTGCTCTAACACTGAAGCTAAGATTTTCTGTCTTCAACAGGAGAAACACTGACATTTCAAATGTAATTTAGAATACATTTGAACATGCATAAAATATAAGCAGGTTGTTTTTATTATGTTCCAGTGCCATGGCTCAATGAGGACAAAAATAAATCAGTACCTTCCTGTTGCTAATCTTATTAGGTTATCTTACTCATGGCTGACATCTACTGGCGGAGTAAATAATAACTTTTAAAGAAAACAAAAAGCAGTTCTTTCATTATCAGTGAAGGTAAAATCCATGTCGTCACCCTCTCCAGTTTGAATTTACTGTGTCCATTCCACAGGGATTCAAGGTTATTGTCCATTGGTGGAGGGGCTGATGAGGTCATGTTGTCAATCATCTGCAAATACATGGACACACTGCCCAAGATATGATGTCATTCACAGCCGACCGTTGGCCTCACAGTAGTAATGAGTTAATCATGAACGATGGTCGTTTTAATAAATTTAATAAGTGCCGTTTTTAGAACTAATTTCATCTTAAAACACATTTAAAAGAAATCCTGCCTTTAACATAACTGTGGTGAGAGACAACTCTCTGATTACCCACAGTTCAAAGTTATGACTGCTTGTGGTGTTTTTGGTAAGTAATCATCTTTTGAAACATTCAGCTTGTTTTGATGATAAAGTTAAAAACACTCACACTTGTTTTAAGCATTAGATTTCTTTATTTACAATTTCAAAAACATTTGTACATTTAAACAAAATGGAATGACTCACTGTAGATTAACTTGTTTAAAATACAAAAAATATATATTCATTCTTGTAAACTATTAAAATGTAATTCCATCAAGCACAGACACATTGCTGTCCAGCGTTTATTGTGTCTATTTTTTGCAGTTATTTGCATGACAAAGGCTTTTTGTTACACGTTCATTTATTTGTTTCCATAATAAAATCAATCAATGACAAATCAGTCTTTCATTTTGTACATTGTTAATGTTTCAAATCAGATTTTTTTTTAAGAGTCACTGGTTAATAACACATGGAGCAGTCCAGATGACTGAGCTTCTGTTGTTTTTTAAAGGTCCAGTGTGTAAGGTTCAGGAGTTTATAAAATGACATGCTTTTTTAGTGTATCTAAACTGGGTGATGTGACAAAACTCTCTTTAAACTGACAGAAAAAACAACTCTAATCAACTCGGTCATTATGAAGTCAAATAAATAAAAAATATCAACCCAGTCAAAATACTGATCCTCTTCTTGGTACATATGAACCAGAATAATTCTTATAAAATTGTAATAAAAACTAAAGAAAAAGTTTGATGACATCTGGTTTGTAACCACATCTGTCAGATAATGTTGGTGTTTGAGTTCCTTGTTGGGATTGTTGTGTGACAATTTTTATTTTGACACGTTCTGGTCAATGTCTTACGTCCAGATTGTGATGTAAATACTTTGTGTCACAGTGACATAAACAATACAGGATACAGACATCACTACCTGTATTTTGTTATTCAACTGCACCTAAACCTTTCTTTATATATGTATATATACACAATTATAATTATCTGTGTTCCTTCTAGTCCTCATGTTGGCCTTGTTTCGGGATGCAACATTTTGACACAGACACTGGAAGTAAACATCCAGCAGGTCCTAGATGCTCCTGCCATCATCTCAGTTTCATGAACCAGTACAGAATGAAAAAGACAAAAAAGCTGAAGAGCAGCATGTAGCACAGCAGTTTGGTGGAACTGCCTCTGGAAAGACGCTTCACTCTGCCAATGGTTGCACCGAGCAGGCCACCGGTGGAGTCAAAGTCTGAGTCCTGGGGTGAGTGAAAGACAAGAGAATTTACTAACATTTATTTTAAATTTCTTTTAAACAGATGCATTTGTTATTTTCCTAGCAAATTACGCAGAGTTTATGTAATTATTTAAGCTTTGTGTCAATATCGATGAAGAGAGACTCACCATATCCCCCAGCATTTTGTTTTGGTATTTGACTTCCGTCCCAATGTCAATAGTCAGCTGTAAATATTAGGAACAACCACGTTACCGTCACTTAAGCCGAAACAGAAACCCCTGATGAACGACATCAGGGAGTTTACTTTTAACAGCGCTGTATTTCGTTAAAAGTTACTCACGCTTTTTAAAGCATTGACTTTGGCTCTCAGTCCCTCCTGCAGATGTTCATTTTCTTCTTCATACACACTGTAACCACTGGCTACATAACCTCCAGAACCTCCTTCGCCTGTAAAGACACACAGCAACAACCGTGCTACCGTCAATTTCACACTTTATTCGGGTTTAAATACGCTACATAAAGAAATAGAAACAGAACTGTTCAGCAGCTGCTAACGTTAGCAAAACAGCGGTGAAGATAAATGTTGTCTTAAACTGAGCATTAATATTCGTTTCTTACCCAGACCGGCGCGCCTCATCTTCAACCGATAAGACCAACTCGTATTTGCTGTGTGAAAAAGGTGTCTAAAACTAATTTATACAAAAAGAACGACGAATATTAGCTGTCAGTCTGGGTGAGTTTCACAACGGTCGGAAGCTACACATCAGCAAACGCCACGATAGCATACGGTGGCTGAAGAGGACCAATCTTCAAATATGTGATTACAAAAAGACATCACGTGTGTTTCCTCGTTGTGCCCTAAACATTCCCCGAAATGCGCTTTCCAGATATACTCTTCTTTTAGCACAATTTCCACTAATTTTCTGGCTATTTTTGTCACTTGAAGACAATTGTGCTGGGTTTTGTTCAACGTGAAGGTAACATTTATCTTTTACTCGGCAATTTCCCAATCTATTTTTAGCTAAACATATTATTTAAAAAAATGAGTATTTACTTCTCTTGAGTTATTCAACTTTGACAATATTATGTTTAAAAACTTAAAATTCATCATTTAAAGTATTTATCATTAGTTAGTTTGTATACTACTGTGGTGGACAAAGTTGTAATGATGTTCCTTTGTTTACTTTTATCATTTCAAAACTGTTTAAAATTTCCAAAATCCTGAAGGTACCATCAGACAGTGATTAACATTCACCCTATGCATATACATCATCTTTCACCCAGCCTTGCACCAACATCACAGGTGACAGCCAATATGATTTGAGAGATTAAAACGACTCCATGACATTAATTTATTCCAATCCAATACCTTATAAATAAATACAACCTTAAGCTTCCAGCCACCACAATGCATTTCAATGGCCATCAACGCTAATCTTTTCATCTGCCCATGTTTCGCAAAGACTTTGTTTTGTGCCTGACCTTGACACAGGTGTCAAAGAGACACCAAGGTGTTGATTGATCTGTGTGTGCACATCACAGCTGTCTTTGTGGCTCCAGGAGGATTATATTTATAAAATGGATCAGTCATGCAGAAAATTATGTTTTCTTCAACTGTAGGTCTTTAGGTTTGCTTTAAAATAAATAGTGTTAAAATGGCATTTAAAAAATATATGTATTATTTTAGTTAAAAACAACATGGACAAAATGTGGAGGAAGAGTAAAATGATAAAGAAACCACATTTGATAAAAAATGCAAAAATGTTCATACGTATATATTTTTAAGGGGAAAAACAATTCATGCACTGGTTATTCTTCACATAGATAAAATAATCATCCAGTTTCTAATGGCCCAGGATGATAAAGTCTGCGTGCCAATTAGCAAAGGTACACAACAATTAAGCAGAAAATGAGAACTGCCCACCAACCTCGTACTGCATCTCCCACTGTACTCCACAGATCCTTAACAATATCTGGCTGCCCATGATTTGCATAATTTCTCCAGAGAATGGAGTGATGAATGAGTCAGATGACGGAGGGAGAGAAGTGTGGAGGAGAAACATGCCAGAGGAAAGATGAAAAGGATATGATTGTGTTTCCAACAATTAGACTCTGGAGACTGATTTTTTAAATTCCTACATTTAACACAAATTTGCACTGCAGCTGAGAGATCTCTGCTTGCGTGTGTGTGTGTTTGTGTCTGAATATAATGTGTATATAAAGTTTTCAAGATAATAACCATGACTTTCAAATGCAGGCCACTGCTTGTGTGGATTGAAGGACTGCACTGAAGCTAACTGAGGTACAGTACGTACTGCTGGCTGAAGGCAAGTGGCTGAAAACATAAAAGACGTGATTTCATCAACGCTGGATTTGAACACTGGGCCCAAGACAGTCGACCAAACTGCAGCTCTGATCTACTTCTACTCATAACGTCTCACTGGTGAGTCCTGAAGTATTTTCTATTAACTATTATTGTGAATGATGAATAGTATGACCCTAATTGAGTGGTTCTCAAACCCTGGTATGCATACCACTGTTGGTCCAAGGTTTTTACATAAATGTACATAATGAGGGGCTTTAAACTCTGATGTTCTGTCCGTGAACTGGAACTGTCAGAATTCAGGAGGGGAATCTAAAGCAACTTTGGGGAGGTCAGTGTTTAAGAAAGTGTTGGACCCTGAACCAAGTGCACTGACTGAAGTCTTCACAAAAAACACATTAAATGGCATTTTAAAAGTCAATTATAAAAAAAATACTTGTGGAAAAGTTCAGTTTGCTTCAGTCCTGATTGTTTTACATGAACTTGAATGATTTTTAGTGCAACTGTTGTTGATATTGTTGTTGTTCCTTCCTGTCAGAATGGTACTCTTACAATATTTAGAACTCTGTCATACTGAAACACAGTGACTGGATTTAATGGTATTTGTTTGCCAGTAGTTTTATGTAATGGGCAATATTTATTTAATATGTGAAAGTTGAACAATATAGTTTAATGAAGGGGGAGAAAAGGGAAGGAAAGAGACGGGGGAGTGGGGGTCACTGTGGGAGAAATCAGGGGAAGACTGAGGTTGTAGTTGACTTTTCTCAAACTCATCTACTCGCATTGTAGCTTTATAGCTTTTCCATTTTATCGAATTCCTTCAGGGAATTCCTGTCAGTCTTAATGAACAATACTATTACTCACAGTAAAATAAGTTGTCACCCCATTGTACCCACGTTATTATTCACTCGCCTCATCTTTGTGTCGGTCTGTGGGTGGGGGTGTCAGCGTCGGCAGCCCCACTTGAATCCTATTAAAATTCAGCTACACCCACCATTAAAAAACACCAAGATATGAGCTCCATCCTCCACTTTCCTCCGCTCACGCTGAGGTTTGATTCATGCACGGACACCAGCACTAGTTTCCTTGACAACTTCCCTTAGAGATGCAACACTATTTACAATTGGATTGAAATATTGATTCACCCATTAACCCCCACTGGGAGCTGGACTTGAGTGGCTTTGTTTCCCAGTCTGATTATGATGTACACAAGACGGTTTAGTCTTTGGCTACAGAAGACATTCTAATCGATAAATGTCACTCAAAAGTGCTTCTGTCTGCAAATTACATTACTGTTTTCTTATCAGACCCTTGAACAGAAGGTAAGCCGACTCCCGAGCCTTGATTTTTATCCCCTTCGATCTCTCTCTCTCTCTGGCAAACTGATCTTATATCCTGGCCTTTCTTCTTTATCTACACTTGATGCACAGCAAATATGTTATCAGCGTTCAGACTGAAAAGTGGCTGGGAGAATGAGCAAAGAGACGTGAGCAGTGTGTTTAGTGCATGGGGTGTTTTCTTAAACTGTCTTAAACTTGACTTTTGGAGTATTTCTGCACCAAAAGCAGGGCGATGTGTGTTTTTTGCTGAATACATTCTTGTTTTGTTGCAGCCATCTTTCTTTTATGCCGTCTCCTCTCTGCTCACTTAAAAAGATGATGTAACTGTGAGTGTCTGTGAATCTGCACTTGCTGGTAATTATCATATATTATGGAAATGATGCTCAGACCTTTTCTGACTTTGCGTCACTGAGTCTGAAGATGATTGGCTCAGGGCTGGAAAGAAACTTAATGTGATTACTTTAAATGGATAAAGTGAAAAACAACTCCGTTGATTGGCTGTGCTCTACCATTATTACATTTATGGATAAAGAACAGGCTAACGTGGGTGCATGTTCACAACAGTGGAAGCAGGGCACCAATGATGTGAAGTACAGGAGCTGTGTTGATCATATCTGAACAGATTTGAACTTCAGGCTGTTTGCATCAGCACATTAGAAAACACTCTAACACCAACAGACAGAACTAAAGGAAAAAAAGGCAGAATTGATTTTGTTGGTGCAGTAGTTTGTAGATACAAAGAGATCATTCAATTTTCTCTGTCTAATTTAGCAACAACATACACTGTGTATGGAACGTCAAGGTAGGAAGCGGTTTGTGCACTTGCCTTACATAAATAGAAACACTATCCAAGTGGGTAAGTGTTTTTCAAGGTACTCCAGTTTCCTTCCACAGTTTAAAGACATGTTTGTTGGCTTACTTTGTTTCTTAAATACTTTCTTTAGGAATATATTTATATGGTAAGTAGAAATAATTCCTAGAAATTCTTCCTACATTGGATTTGGTCAGTCTGCTAGCTCATGTTTGATGTCAATGACCAATTCTGGCTTCACAGCTACAGTGTGGGCCACATCAATATAAGGGACTGGTCAGGAGGTCGGCTTTGTCTGCTAGATCACACACACCCACACCAAAGAAACAAACATCTTAGTCGCACTAATCCCTCTGTCTGACACTGATTACCAACGCCACAAAAAAAAAGGTTAAAACACATCCTCTTAGTTGAGTCGTTTGGAGGAAAAACAAATGCACTTGTTTTGCAGCCCTTCAGTAAAAAAACAGGAGTGGAGAAAAGCAGTGATGTCATCTCCTGGCACAGAAATGCATTCACATTACAGCAGTTTGGAGTAATTCGTTTTTGCTATATATATATTCGTAAACTTCCAGCAGAACTTCCAGTTTGCTATCGCACAATTTAGCAGAGTAAGTCACAGTCTCATAGCGTGTTATTTCCTGCAGGTAATTCACATTTTTTTATTCTTTTAATTGGAATATCACAAGAACAGCTGAAGCAACTGAAGACATGGACAGCAACCCTGAAGGCTCCATATTACCTGTCAGGAAAATAATATATGTTTTTTGACGCCAAAGAGAAATCCTGACAAAGCTTGCGCTGTTGTGAATTGCATTGGAAAGGCTTACCAATACGCCGATAAACAAAATTACAATTTTACGCACTACTGTCTCTGGTGACACCAAAGCTTATGTCGCCTGGACTTTTCTTCCCTGCGATGCGTTCGCACACCAGGCGCTTTTGTCCTGCTGTAATTGAGTAACACCAGGTCTCGGTTCCAGCACCCATTTATATCCCCGCTCCCTTACATGACAGGCTTTGACAAGTAATTCATAGTTTGCCAAGTACTGCTATGAATTGCTTTTAGGTAATCCACCCCAGGGATTTGGCACAATGGCCAACTGGATGTGTTGTTGTACCAGTAGAATATAGAATCTGACTTCAAATGGTTTGTAGTTGTTTTTGTCCTTGACTGAGAAGTTGTAGTAAACACACTCTTCGTCCAGTCAATTCTCATTTGACTACCCCGCGCTAGCAGATGTTCCCGGCACTGGAGAGAGCATATGGAGAACATAATGAGGACTGATTACAAATATCACACATGGAAACCATAGCGATCTGTTGACGGTGGTTAAGTTTGCTGTTGGAATGGGCCGAATTGCAGCTGGATTATTGCAGTGGATCAGGAGTGTAAAAGCTGTTGTCAAACACAGCTAGATTTGATAATGTGTTTTATCCGGGGACTGAAAAACATTTAGGCACAGATTAAACATGCTGCATGGATGGATCGCCATGACTACAAAGAGATAGAAAGGTTACAGACGGCTCATTTTGCGCGTGAAACTGCCGTTATTCGGTGTGTAGATACGTGAGTGCACTATGGAAGAGCACAGTGTCTGAGGACTACTGTGTGAAGGCAGTAGTCTTTGAGTTTCTATGTGAGTTATTTGTTTCAAAAACGGATGCAGTTTTCTATCCCTTTACAGTGCTTGGTATTTAGGGGAGGATAAAAAGGAAAAATACTACTATAATGAGGAAACACAGAACTAGCAGTAAACTCCAGGGTAGTTTCATGGTTTCATAACTTCCTGACCTACTTTCTACCTCAGAAAGTACAATCTGATCTCATTTGATTAACTGGAGAGAGATTACGCCAGACTGTGAATTTAGTTAGCGCTAACTTAGGAGATCAACATCACTGTGACTCTACTATCAGACTGAAGGTGATGGCACATTATGACCCAGTCCTACACATATCATTATATCAGTCTAATGAACTTACTTGCTGGTCACATCAGTCTTCTCTCTGCAGTGTGTGAAAGAATAGAGATGGAGCGACAGTGCCACCTAGTTTAAAGCCTGACACCAGCATCCTGGTTTGTCTGAGAGGGATCACTTACTTCCTGTCTCCCCCAATAACTCATCAGATTAATCTAATGAATATTCTTTAGTGTCAGCGCAGAGACAGCGGCGACACGAACTCATTGTTGTCAGGAAGCCGTTTGAAAAGACTCTCCTGGTTTCACCCCTGCTGCTAAAACACTTGGATTTAATTTTGCTCTGGGTGGAATGCCGTTTTTGATGGAAGCTCCCAGAAAGTATTCCCTGAAGGTGTTATTTAAAAAGTGCTCAGCTTCTCCTGAGTGTTTCTACACTGCAGGGTTGGAGGACTGAGTGTCAGGAGGAACTCAGGGACTGCCGTGTGAGCCTATGATGTTCAGAGAGGAGGAAGTGAATGAATGAGAGGTCACCTGCTTTTATTATCACCACCGCCATTAAATGAAGTAGTCATAATAGTCCAAAGGTTCTATGAAAAATAATTTAAAAAATTCTTTATAAATTAATATTTATCTCAATTATGTTTGTGTCCCTGAGATGTGTGTATATATATATATATATATATATATTTATTTGTGTGTGTGTGTGTGTGTAGCTATATATTTATATAAATATATACATATATTTTCTATATATGTACATGCTTGTGTTACACACTTATGAATGTACTGTGTGTGCCTGTATATGGCTGCGGTTTTAGCCTCCTGGGTTCTAACATTCTTGTCAGTGTTCTTAAAAATTATTAAACTTCAAAGTCATTTTCAAAGTTTTGCTTCATGGAGTTTAACTAAATTCTGCTGAGCTCCTTCCAGAATGTCTAAATTGCTGCCCCAGTGTCCTGTGATCAGTGGGCGGCGTGTCTCCTGCCTGTGTGTGCGCACTGAATGATAATGTCTATAATTACCTGCCTTTATCCCCATTCTGCTAAA